TTTCCAAAGGCTCAAAGACTTTCCCTTTCAACTTTGAAATGTCTAGGTCTAGACTTTAGTTTTAATCCTAGACACTCGAATTACATAAGCTACAAGCGTACTATAGAAATACAAAGAAAAATTACATTGGTAAAGTTGAAAAATTTACGTTTTAAACTTATGGCTTCTGCCAATTCTTTTTTTTTACTAAAATATTAGCAGATTTTTTTATGAATTTACTAATATTTGATTAATCTGTTCTAACTTCTGCTGGACATCCTGATTAAAAATTATAACATCTTTTTGAATTCTACCTGTGGTTTTTCTATCTCGATTTGTGTCTGACTTCTAGGTTTATACTATTCAAAGAGTTATATAAAAACAGCTGCCTCTTACATTCTCTTCTAAAAATTTGAGACGACAGCTGTCAATGTCACAGCAATCTCGACCCACAATAACAAACTGTATTCATTTGTAACTAAAACTGAATAAAAACTGGGTTAATATAAAATCATACGTCAAATACGATATGTTAGTTAGTATAAGCTACAACCCAGTTACTAGAGACCTTTGGACATGCGATAGTACGTCTGCATACATTCCTACAGACATGCGAATATGTACAATGAACCGAGATAATGCTATCAAACGAACAAAGAACATACAACTCGTAAATAACATCACGAGAAATACTAATTCATATAGAAAGGTCTTTGGAATTAAACGTCCATGGCTCAAAGGTTAAGCACTCTGCAATCTGCAGGTCCTGGATGGAAATCCCGCCATGTACAAATGTGTTCTTACGGTGAAAACATCGTGATGCAGCACATATCTGAGAAGAGATTCAAAGATATGTGTTAAGTCAACCCGCACTGGGCCAGGGAGGTTGACTATGACCTAGTCACAGCTAACTTAGGGTAGGCTCCAAGCCCCTCAGTGCGGACGTATAGTGAGCTGGTGTTTGAAAGGACAAGGACTCAATTTATCTAACAAAATTTCCTTGAATTTTTATCTTACCAAATGTAATTTCTTATTTCCAGACCTTAGCAGCTTCAGCGGCCATTTTGATGACGTTTTCGTCCGGCCTGACGTCTGGGTATTCCGCCATCTTGCTACCTCAACTGAAAGAACCTGACAGTGTCATACCCTGGGATGAAAGTACAGCATCATGGATAGGTAAGTAATCTTTGTCTCTTGCTAGTCATAAACTACACTAATACGGTGCCGCCACTAAATAGTTTCGTGTCTGTCTGCCCTTCTACGGGATGATTAATTCGTTCGCGGTCCGTCTTTCATGTTATTTCTCTAGTTAGTCGTTTCTCTTTCTTTAATATCGTAGACGTTTCCAGTAATGTATAAATTTATTTCAAACATTGCTATAAAATAGGATAATATTTAATATACTTAATGTCACACTTAGTGTCAATTCATTATAATAAATCTACACTAAGAGACAAATAAAAGGATGGACTAAAAACTTACTTCATTGTATGAAAATATTTGGTTTATTTTACTGAAACGTGCGGAAGTTTAATGTATAACATCACCCATTTACAAATTGATTTATGAATGATTTATGTATCGAGAGTTCCATTCACGTCCGCCCACAAACATTAGTCATCTAGACACCGAAGTCAACTGAAACATAGTTAAATAAAACGAGGCAAATGTATCGCTAATTGATAACAGAGTTATAGGAATTCTCCAAATTTGTGGATTTGGAAATTCCAGAATTTATTACGAAACAATTTAAAAGACGTCCTTCATACTTATATATACCTACTTAAATTAGTCGGTTAGTTACAATCTAACTACCTAAAATCTTGTAAAAAGAAGTCAAGTGTGTCGAATTCCTTCATCTATCTGTTCGCGTGAATCCCTTAAAAAGGTTTTTTAAGGGAAGTTTCCCTTTGTGTATTAATACAATGCTAGGGAAATACATCGATAACATTATTTTACTTCTTAGTAATATTATAAATAAACGAATGTTTAGATGGATGTACGGATGTTTGTTTGAAGATATCTCCTGAACGGCTCAATGGAACTCGCTAAAATTTGGCATAGATGTAAAACACATAGGCTACTAATTATGTTTTCCTTTAACTCCGCGCGAACGGAGGCGCGGGCGACCGCAATTGTTTTCATACAAGTATCTTGACAGTGGAAACCTACTGAAAACATGTCACATTTTATAAACATCAATTTTTGTTCATCATAGTTAATTGCGTGTAAGATAAAATTCTTTAATTGTTTATTCTTGCCAACTTTTACATTTGAAAATGTTATAACACAACTGTTTCAAGGCTTTAAAATAATCTGCCAACTATTTCCAAGAAAAATTATCTTTTCGTGATCGTGTTTTTAATACGTATTTGTGATTTTTTTGTCGGAATGTTTGCACATTTTATTAACTACAATAGGAAAAACGTGTATCAGAGAGAAAATTCTCTGTGCGTAGAGTCAATTTAATTTTATATAACTTTATAAAATTATATAATACTTTGCCGACGGTGACTCCGTCCGTGCGGAATAAAAAAAAACTTAATTAGTTGTCTAAATGTTCTTCTACTACATTCTACATCCATGTATAATTTCAGCAAGATCCATGCTGCCGGTCGGGTACCTTCAAACAAACATACATCCAAACATTCGCATTTATAATATTAGTAAGATTGCTCTATTCATGATGACTACAGCATTAAAATTGTTGAAATGTTAAAAATTAAAAGTGTCCATACTTTTAAATCTCTTGAACTAAATAAATGTATTTACTCGTACGTAATAAAATAATGTCAAATAATCAACATAACAGCCGAATAATCATTCTTTGTTCTTTCTACAAGTGTATATGTATCTATATATGATGCAATTAAAGTTAAACTGTCATATGACTGTCATACAAATCTTGTTTATACTCCATCATATTCTGATAACAATCCCTTATCGCTTATTTACTTATTCGACCACAAGTCGACTATGTTTACATAGTAACAACATTCATTAGAGGTTAAGAAACAAAACTATTTACTTTTAATTTAATAATTAATTTCTTATCGTTGACCTCTTTCATTATTTTATTGGTTTTCAATGAACCCCCGTTTGCTATATTTCTTCTTTAAGAGCCTACCCTAAGTTAGGATTGACTTACGAAACCTTAACTAAATTCTTCCTGTCTTTTGATCCACTTTAAGAAAGACAATTTTAACATTATTGTATTTATTTTCCAGCTGCGATGGCAGCACTTCCGATGGCACCGGGCTGTCTTCTTTCTGGCTGGATGATGGAGAAGTTCGGCAGACGTAACTCACATTACATCGTCTGCGCACCATTGCTAATCGGCTGGATTCTCATCGCTTGCGCCAATAACCTTCTACTGATGCTCATTGGAAGATTCCTGACCGGTCTTTGCGTCGGTCTACTCGGACCTTTAGGACCTGTATATATTGGAGAAACATCTGAACCGAAATTCAGAGGTATCTTTCTCGCCGCTGTGTCGTTAGCAATCGCAGTGGGGATATTAGTTGCACATTTGATCGGGACTTTCATTTCGTGGCAGTGGACTGCAGTCATATGCTGTTTGTTTCCAATTCTCTCAGTGATATTACTAAGTGCAGTGCCCGAGAGTCCCACTTGGCTGATCTGCAGAGGTGAAGTGGAGAAGGGAGTCAAATCTTATTACTGGCTGAGAGGTTACAGCGAAGAGGCAAAAGCAGAATTGCAGGCAGTTATAGATAAACGTAAGCAAACTGATTCAGAGCCAGTACCAACATGGAGAGAGAAGATAGCAAACTTAAAGAGTCCGGAGTTATTGAAACCTTTAGCTATTATGATTATATTTTTCATAACTTGTCAGTTTTCTGGCGTGAACGCTATTGCGTTTTATTCCATAGAAATAGTTGAGAAGGCTGTCGGGAAAGGTATGGACCATTACGTCGCCATGTTGGCCATTGATGTGCTCCGGACTGTGATGTCTGTGGTCGCGTGTGTTATTTGCAAACAGTATGGCAGGAGGCCATTGTGCTTTATCAGTGGAATCTGGACTGCGTTATCTATGATCGGACTTGCATTGTTCTTATATTTCACTGAAGGCAAACCTACAGACATGTCGTGGTTGCCATTATCATGCTTGATGATATACATTTGTGCTATATCAATCGGACTGGTTCCTTTACCTTGGATGATGTGTGGTGAAGTATTTCCTACAAAAGTCCGTGGATTAGGTTCAGGAATCAGTTCGGCCACGACGTTCTTAGCTTTCTTTGTCGTAGTTAAAACTGCGCCCGGCATGATGTCTAGTTTAGGAGAAGTTGTCACATTCCTGTTTTACGGCATAGTAGCGTTCATTGGAACTGTTATTTTGTATTTTATTTTGCCAGAAACAAAAGGTAAAAGTTTACAAGAGATAGAAGATAAGTTTAGAGGAATAAAAAGTAACAAAGTTTAGTTATTATTAAATTGTAAGTAAATGTTCAACGATATCATTTAATAATTATTAAGTTTAAATTTATTTATCTGTGATATTATAGTCTGTATAGATTATTAAATAGATTAATAATATTATTAAAATTTATATTATTACAAATAGCGATTTTTATTTTGTCTTTCCTTAGATATTAAATATTACTATTTTAGACATTACTAGCTGTCGCCCGTGACTCCGTCGGCGCAGGATTAAAAATAGATGTTGACCGATTCTCAGAGCTACTCAATATGCTTACAAAATTTCATGAGAATCGGTCAAGCCGTTTCGGAGAAGTATGGGAACGAAAATTCTGACACGAAAATTTTATATATAACATTAGAATCATTTGGTGCGATTGGTGCGCTTTTATTACAAAGTCAAATGTCAGAATGATTAGTGAGAGGACATAAACGTTGATATTTTTGTAAGGCTAGTGTTGTGCAGATACACCGGTATAGTGTCGGATTTTCTTCCTAACACTATAAACAAAAAGATACTTAGGGTAAATAAATAAAACAAGTTTTGAATCAAACATTTATTATTCATAAACATAATTAAAATGGCACAAGTAACATTTTGTTATAAATAAATGCATTTTTCGTATATTAATATCGATTAACACATTAAAAAAAGAAATAATTTAGCGATAATTTTTTATCAAAAGCCTTAATGAAAAATAAAAATGTCACAATAAGCATTTTATGTTATTTATATTATTTCCTTCATACCCCAGTATCTTCACATAGGACACGTAGTTATAATTAAGTACAGAAACAGGAGAACATTTAGGTAACAAAAAACATAAAATGACACTAAAGAAATGAAACTTCGCTTAAACTAAAGATCAAATACAAATAATTAAAATTTCTTTTAACCATTTCAAGCCAGTTCAGTTTGTGGTAGGTCATGATTATAATAATCGAAAGACTTCGAACCCAAGACTTCTTATAGAATCGAATCGTAACTTTAACCATACTTTTTCATCCAGATAAAGCAGGATTTATAAAACATATATCTCTAGATAGAGCGAAGTTTCATTTCTAATTTAAGATCCTTTTACCACTAGCACGACTTCCGTGGAAAACTTGCCAACTCTGTGGAAAAGGGGTCTAAAGGATTATGGATAGGTTTACTTGGCTCGTGGCTTAACTAGCCTGGATGCGGGCGGTGCGAACTTATTGAACCCCTGTTGGTCGAAGACTGGGAGCAGATCCCGGACCCTCGCGGATACCGTGCCCCCAGAAACTCTGGAACGATATGCTCTGTTGAGGATGAGAGAAATGCTGTAAGTGAGGTGCTAACTAACTACAGTGATGTACAAACTTTATGTTAGCTCGAAATCACACTTGGGTCAAGAAGGCCTCGTGCGAACTATATAATTTAAGGTATCGGTGTCATACATAGTAACTAAATGGATATGAGAAGTCTTGTGCTCATAGCTTACCACGAGCTGCCATTAAATTTGCATGCATATCTACGTGATGTGTTTGAGTGTTGGCTACATTTAATGTGCATTCATCATCATCAGCTCACTATACTTCCCCACCGAAAGGCTCGGAGCCTACACTAAGTTAGGGGTGACTGTGTGCATTAAGGTCTACAAATTGTTAACAGATCTAACTATGAGATACACAAAATTAGCTACAAAAATACTATTCGTTAACATAATATGAATTTAAAATAATTCAGAACAAAGAAATCATAAAATTACATGTAATCTTGTAATGTATATCTTTAAATAAACATACCATTAAACAATATTATATAATCAATCAAGCAAAATTATATTTCGATTACAATTGCAGTGAAAATCTAAATAAAATGTGAATAACCAAAGTGTGTTGTACCAACAATAGCTTAGTGTTTCTTGAAGGTATACCTGCTGGGTTTGATAAGCTTTGCTGCCTGCGCGGGGGTGGCCAGCTCCGTCGGGAAGAAAGTAGCTCCGTAGAAATCAAGGCCGTTCTGCAGCAGTATATTGGCTTCCTCAATGCTGGCGAGAGTCACGCGGATGACGGTGGACGCTTCCTTCGGGATCATGCTGCTCACCAACTCACCGTCGATGGTCGTCAGAGCACGAGGTGGTGTCTTCTCCAATGGTTTTGGAGTTGATGTACCTAATGTTGAAGTAGAGATAAAAATAATGAAAGTTTTAGCTGTAGAAAAGTTTTTTAAGATGTAGAGAGAAAGAGTAAGTGCCTTATTATCAAGTAAAGAACACTTTTGTAAAAATTAAGGAACAAAGGCTCCCAGGAAAACAAAGATAAAATTTGTGTTGTAAAGTCCAGGAATGCAACAAGTTTTCCGGAAGCCTAATTTAGTCCTCTTTTCCTTCTCACCCTTTTTCTTATAAGGAAAGGATGTGAAGTGGAAGTGGACTTTCCGGATGAGATGATGCATAGAAAAGGAATATATTTTCTCTCTGTGCATCCTTTCCTTCGCCGATTAAAGTTAGGCCACGCATATGCAATTGTGTATGTCTATGGGCAACGGTCACTTCGCTAGTTCAGCGATTTCAGGTGACTGCTCGCTCATTTGCCGCCTTATGATATGAAAAAAAACTGTTGCTACACTATTAATCTATAGCATTTTGTGTACGTAAAGTTGAACATGTCACAAGAAAGACAATAAAAGACAGACTGTTTGAGAGAAACGCGATAATTCGTCTACAGGTGATGATTCTCACTAACCAGTGTTGCCCTCTCTTGGTGAACCGGCGAGATGTAAACGCAGCACCTCTACAACAGAGGTGAACTTGTAGAGGGCGTGACGCACGTCTTCCTCTGGTACCTCATCGGGAACATCGTATACGTAGATTGTGAATGTCTTCTGAGGACGGCACGGTATCGCAATCTGGATGATGAAGAACAAGGTCAATGATGCTCAGATTATTACAGTATATATTCTGTAATTTTTGATGTCATGACTAATGATAATCGGACTATAAACGCAGCTGAATATACCAGGACGAATAGGATAGCGATATTTGTGAAAAGCAGCCAAAAGCGAAGACTTTTAAGAATAGACAATATAATAAATATATTTATAATCATATTAAGAACGATATAATTGGATTTTAAAGGCAGTATTGCTAGGATTACTAGGGGCTTACAATTTCTCTCGTAACAATTTATAGCAACAAACTTGGTAACATAGTTTTTAATAAAGAAGCTTAAATTAATATTAAATTAAAGCACAGTATAGGGATGTTAATTAATGAAGGGATGAGAGAGGACAAGCAGATTACCTTCCTATAGAACCTGGATCCCGTGACTTTATGGAATCCTTTCTTGAAGACCATCTGGTAATCATCAACATGGGAGAATTTGAAGAGTATACCAGTGGCTGTCTTGGTGAGAGAGAAGCAGCCCTTGAATTCCATCTTCTCGCAGATGGCTGAAGCCTTCTCCATGCTGAGGCCGTGAGAGGGCGTCAGGAGGAAGGCGCCCTTAGTGAGGAAGTGCTCGGAATCCGAGATGTCGGATTCGCTCTCCCCTCCCTTCATTAACGTGTGAATCTGCTCCTTCCACATGTATGAATCTGACATCTGACACAAATAGTAAAGTAACCGTAGGTTTCTGAGACCAAACAATCCGTTTAAAACATACTGTTATGTCTGTTTTGTTAAAGAGATAACAATATGTTTTATGCAAAGATTTTGGTCTCAGAAACCCACATTAAATAGAGTTAATGAGAAGTAATTTAATCAAAAGTGAGATTTGGAATAATTTATTTGTATCTTATTATAACTAACTGTACATATAAGTTCACACGTCATCATCAGCTCACTATACGTCCCCACTGAGGAGCTCGAAACCTACACTAAGTTCACACATACATAACCTTAATTAGAACTAACACGCTAATGATAGACATCATGGTGTCATTCACAATCTATTGAAGTAAATTGTGAATGACATAAAAGTAATGTCATACATTCTAATAACTCTTGAGACTTTATAGAATCGAATATCCCCTTTTATTTAAATACATAGTTAACGATAACTAATATTATTTACTAAAAAAAAATTCTTTAGCAATCAACCGCAGACTCAAAATTAAAAAATATTGGATTATTTGTATCTTTTCTTACATTTTGAAATTATAATCGAGATTCGAACCCACGACTACTATTCTTTTAATCACTACTTCCCGGTTATTTTAAATTATATCAAATCGCACTTGCGGTCAGATAATGTGGTCGTAATCAGAAGCTCATCATAAGAATATACAAATCACTACAAATAAAACTATTAAAAACCGTTACCACAGACTAAAATAGACTTATGTGTTAAAAAAAAACTCCGTAACATAATCTTCTTATCAAAAAAGTTAATCGACATCTCAGGGGACCGAAGATATGGCAGCTACCTCGGACAAAGAATTAATATAGCTATTCAAAGGGGGAACACTGCCAGTATCTTCGGAACCTTGCTTAATGGGACTACTTATTTATTAATATATTTTATTTAATTATTCGTTTTTAATATTTTATTTAATATCATACATTTAAGACCTTTGGTCATCAATCAAATGTTAAATAAAAATCTTCTAATTATCACATCTGATCACATATATCAGATATTAAATCCAGATTGACATCGTCATCAAATAACTGTTGACAAGCTAGCCCTCTATTTCAAGTTACGACTAACCATAGTCACGTTGCCCAGTTAGTTGACATCAAACAAATCTTTAAAACTCATAGCTGAAATGTGCAGGTTACATCGACATATTTTCCTATGTCTTAAAAACGTTACATAAATGAAACTGAACATGATCTTATCACACAGTGATTCTGAATACAACATGGTATATCAAAACTGATATAAAAACGGCTAAGCACTCGCATATATTCGTCCGGTGGCGGCACCGATTAGTGAGCGATGGGCCGCGTCCGCGAAATAATACCACTACCACTCCAATACGATGGGCTCGTATATACGTGAGTGTTTAGCCGTGTTTATATATCAATTTAGTAAAATGTCTCACGAAAGTTTTAATAATTTAATAACATGGTATATCGTTTGGATCGAACCCAGTGAAAATATCTGTACGTAATAAAAATAAAATCCTCAATTCAATATGTACAAGAGAGTAATGAGTCATTAAACGTTTACAAATTCAATTGACCATAAATATCATAAGAATACAATGGCATATGAACGTAGTGACATTAATAGTTGCTAATGGCGGCACGCGTCAGATCTAGTAAAAGATGAAAAGTGAATTTAAGAGTCAGATGGCTACGGTTATTTTCTTATTTCAGCCAAGAGACCTGTTGCTTCTTTGCCACATTCTGATATTAAAAAAAAACATTATAACCTAACTGTCATAATGAAAAAAACAAAGAAAGTAGATTAGATTGGAATTACTAAGAGACATCTGCGCTAAAGGTATTTTTAAGTAACAATTAAATTGATTTCTGCCAGTATTTAGTTTCGTTTTAAATACAAGACCAAATCGAGTGCTATTTAGTAATTGCGACCATACTATGTGGGTGGACAGAGACAATTTAGATTTGTCTGTAATTGCCGTGCGTTTGTTCCCAAGTGGCTGTAACACTATATTTGGTAATACAAATTGTAGCTTTAATTGTTTAATTTCTTCTGCTTCTTAATTTAAGGTCGATTGGTAGTCAAGCTCGGTTTATTTATTGCTACTTTTAAAAAAGGAATGACACGAAATATTACATATATTGGTTGTTTCCGCAGTAAACAGATGTTCAATTTAAAATAGTCAAGTTCACAACTTTTTACCTCATTGAACTTATTTTTAAATTTAAACATTACTGGCCATCATGTTTTTTAGTTTTTGTTATAAGTTTTGAACCAAAAATAACTGGAGAAATAGATTTCATCAACATTAGATGAATACCTTAACATAGGTGTTATTTTGGATAAATTTAAAATAGTACCATCGGTAAAATCTTGCTTTATTTCGTTTTTTTTTTAATTATACTTTTCTATTGCATTCTCGGTGGCCTGTACTCATGGAATATAACAACTTATATGATTATTAATTTACATTTTTCTATCTTATAAAATACATTGCTTTTTGAAATAAATGTGCTTTAACGTTGTTAATTTGACTATTTTGGTCAGCGCCATCTAGTGATAAGTAACTTACCAATTTAATGTTAACTGAAATAATACGTTTGGAGTGTCTTATACACAAAATATTTACAAATTTAACACATAATTTTAATATTACGCCTTACAATGTTACACTGTTTTAAGATGCTCTATAAAATAAGAATCAGATACTTTTAAATTAATTTTCAAAAAGAAAGATTTAAAAAAAAACAATAAAACCTGCGTAAATTTTGATATTTCATCCGTATTTTATCTAAAAATTTCTAGGCATGATTGACAACACGTGAAAAAATAAAAACATTTAAAAATCAAATATTTTCTAGGTAAATAATATAAGTTCCAAATCAACAAAACTAACCTGTCTCTTATCAGAAATCTTGGCGTTGTCCTGTTGCTTGTCGTCTTCGGCCCTGTGTTCTGTGTCGGAGATGCCTTCCGCCAGGGACATGATCCACTACTGCTGGCACCCGCCACGACTCTCAGCTTTACTTACAGCCGCGACAACTGGACCGTGCCACCACTCCTTGCTGCACCCAGACTAACAAAACTATAGAGTCCACTCGGATTAGTAACAAATATATACCCTCTTTAGGTTCCATGTACAGATGTCTTTAATTGCTAATCGATGCTGTAGAATTGATCGTGGGATGTTTTTAAATGTTTAAAAGGCAATCCAATAATGTTTACTTGGCAATTGTTATCTGTATTTGTATAGACCTGTATATAAATGTGATTGTTACATTTAGTAAAAAAAAAGAATAACAACTTTTAAATCTTTTTTTTTTAAAGACAAAACTAAATAAGACAAAATGTTACATCGATTTAAAAAGGCACAAGATCCATAGCGTATTTTTTTCTTAATTTCTATTACATTAATATTAACAATATTATAAATTCTTAGATGGATGAATGAATGAACGGATGGATGTTTGCTTCAATGTGTTTCTGGAACGGCTCAAAGGATATCGCGGAAATTTGGTATAGAAGAACATAGTCTGGAAGAACACATAGACTACTTATTAAGTTTTAATTTAATTCCCCGCGGAGTCGGGGACGGAGTCGCGAGCGGCAGCTAGTATTTTATAAGTATTATAAAATTATTTGTAATATCGACTCCATACCTCTTCAAGTACAATTTTTATGAGAGGCGCGACGAAAGAATCGACTAAGACTATTATTATCTAAGTACTTAGACAATCCTATCGTTGCCTTAACTACAATTGTTGTTCTACATACGACCATATGGTTAGATTTTTTTAAATATTTAATAATTTCACAATCAAGTTCAAATTCTCACTGAATTGTTTAAACTTAATTTAATCATTTATTAACGCTTTTAATACACGTTATACTATTTTTAGGAATTGCGGAACATACGAAGAAATCCATACATAATCTTATTAGTTTACTTAATCCTTTGGTTCTTGTTTTTAGATTAACTAAAATATAATTTAACTACTTTATAGTAAACTTTCCAACGGTTTTGTCATCTCTTACAGCGACTTCCTTAAGTTTATTATTTCCTAATCTGACTAATACTATAAATGCGAATGTTTGTTGGAAGGTATCTCCAGAATGACCCAGCAGATTTTAATGAAATTTTTAGCATGGATATAAAATATAGTTTCCAAGAACAAATAGGCTATTAATTAAGTGTTTTTTTAATATCGCTCGGTCGGAGTTACGGGCGACAGCTAGTGTTATCTGTACGTAAATACGTTTCGTTGCTATGTAGAGAATGAAAGGCGCAACACAATGGGGCGTGACGAATATTTTTGTAGTAACTACTGTCCTGATAAATGAGGACATCTTGGAGTCACTAGACTATGAACTCTTCTTTATATTCACTAACAACAATGATATAACGTACTAAGCGCTATCGTATCGTCATAGACAAAATTTGTATTAACATTTGTACAGCGCCGCCTATCGTGCGTAAAGTACACCAAAAATCTCATACTAATGTTGTTGAAGTGCTGACAATACGAACTTGTATATATTCGTGCTAGGCCCACTATCTGTTTTATAGCAAGGGCCGAGTTGTTGAATTGTACTCTACAGCGATCTTTAGAAAATAATCTTACTTATATTATAAATACGTATGTTTGGATGGATGTTTGTTAGAAAGTATCTCCAAAACAGCTCAACGGTTCTTGATGAAATTTGGCAAAGATGTAGAACATAGTCTGGAAGAACAAATAGGCTAATTATTAAGATTTTTTAACTCCACGCGGAGTCGCAGACGACAGCTAATTACAAACAAATCAATGTTTGAATATCCTATGTCTTAGAACATATTTCTGACGTCACCACTACGTCACTAATAAATTAAAACCGGTCAAGGTAGAGTTGCAAAAAAAATTTCCTTATACAAAGTAATTTAGTATTAACTTAACAGCTGTTAGAGTCGCGTGTGATGTTTGTTAACGAAAATGTGTTATTTTTGTTATACATGTAAATAAAAATAATTTAGTTGAATATGTTTGTTCGTTTGTATAGAGTTGGTGAAACATATTTTTTTTGTGTTTAAATTTACGCTAATTAATTGTGTTTTCCAAATAATGTATTGTGGATTGTAACTACGAATTATTTCTATCACTAACAACAATGTAAAATAAAACAAAAAACACAGATAATATCGCGTATTTTATTTGGGAAAGGCAATCCGACAAAGGTCTAAAATGCTGATAAAACATACGTCGAGATTATTTGTCCCCCTTAAGATTTTTATTCAAACATAAGTATGGATCATATTAGAAATATTTTTATCAAATTTTATCGCAGCTCAATTGTTTCTAATGCGTTCAGGATATTGTTAATATCATCAGATATAAAACATTTTAATTGTTATAATAAAAGCTATACGACTTAAAACTGATAACTTTATTACACACTTAAAAAAAATGAAAATCCTCCTCAGCGTTGTACGTAGAACTTAAATTTACAATTAAAAATGCATGCAGGCTGCTAAAAATAACTGTACAACTTATGAAACTTCTATGCAAAATACTATAAACTGTTGCTCTGTATGTATGTATGGTAACACTATAGTATATATTATTAGCTGTCGCCCGCGACTCCGTCCGCGCGGGATTAAAAATAGATGTTGACCGATTCTCAGACCTACTCAATATGCTCACAAAATTTCATGAGAATCAGTCAAGCCGTTTCGGAGGAGTATGGGAACTAAAATTGTGACACGAGAATTTTATATGTTATATAAGATGTAGATATACCTATAGTTGTTTTGAGGTTAATGACCTATGTATGTTTTTCGTTAAAATTTTATATTTATCACGCAAAGTTGCATTTAATTATTTTAATCGTTGTGTCAGTATGAATCACTGATAATTAATTTTATCTAATTATGCTTCTTTTCTATACAAATATTATAAAGAGGATGGATTTGTTTGCTTTGAATATGCTCCGAAAGTACTGAATCGATTTGAAAAATTCTTTCACAATTGGGAAGCTGCACTATCCCGGGATGATGTAGACTATATTTATTAGTAGTTTAATCCAATACCGTGAAGACGAAGTCGCGTGCGACAGCTAGCTAGTGGTATTTAACGATTACATGATTTAAGTGTGTTTAGAAAGTTGCTATTTAATCGACTCCTAACTGTTTAATTATTGATTATAAGTTGAGTGATTTATATATATTTTAAATTGTATCGTCAAATGTATTTCCCCGTAACATAATTGCATACAAGATCACAATTGCTATTATATCTTTTGCCTTCTCTAGTTGTATGACAAAGTGATATACTTCAGGATAATAGAATGAATTACGTAACTGTATATAAGTACTTTGCCCAAACAACTGTATAGAGTAATGACAATGTATTATTTTGCAGTTGTTCCAGCAATCACATCCATGATAAACAAAGAGACAACACATCTGCAATTGCCATTTTAACAGTGATAGAGCCCGCTTTAACATCTTCGCACGAATTGTCCCGGCTCGCCCGGTGAAATACCACGACCACACAGAAAAACGCGTCAAGTGGACACAATTCCGCGTACAGTCTGATGAGTGTGCGTCCCGGAGGCTTAATTTAGTCCTCTTTCCCTTTCCACCCTTTTTCTCATAAGGAAAGGATGGGAAGTGGAAGTGGACTTTCCGGATGAGAGTATGCATCGAAAAGGAAAATATTTTCTTTCTGTGCATACTCTCCTCCGACGATTAAAGGTCGGAAACGCATATGCAATTGCATATGTCTATGGCCAACGGTCACTTTGCTATTTCAGCGATATCATATGGCCGCTCGCTCGTTTGCCTCCTTATGTTATAAAAAAAAATTGTAGATGTCTATGGCCTGCGATGGCTACACTTTTGCAGCGAATTCTGATGGTCGCTTACTCGTTTGTCACCTTATATTAAAAAAAAATCAAATGCATATAATGAGTATCATAAGTAGTTCCAGCATTAAACAGTTTAAAAACAGAAGATAACATGTTTTTAATAATAATAATAACAACGTATTTCATGTAAATGTTTTCAATAATGAAAACTTACGGTATTAAAAACAAAACAACTATGAAATTCATATATACAATTTTAAAGTTAACTTGAAAAAATATATTTAATTGATTTCTTAATTATTCCACGTATTTCCTCCGTGAAATAAACTTAACATAATTATCATTACATATTGGCCTTGCAGCGTAATAAGTAGACTGAAGTTCATTTCGTTTTACAGTTTTATAAAGAATGTTAAATTGCATTTAAATATATAAGTTGACTAGCTGTCCCATGGACTCCTTCCGCGCAAAATGTAACCAATTATTAGCCTATGTGTTCTTCCAGGTTATGTTCTACATCTATGCCAAATTTAAGTTCGATCCATGCAGGTCTAGTGTTTACAACCATACATCCATCCAAATATTCGCATTTATAATATTAGAAAGATTGGCAGACTTAAGACTAAAATAATAAAAGGAAACTGCAAAACTTAGTTATAATTTAAGGACAAAATCGAATTCAAAATATTATCCAATTAATGCCAATGTTTGAAAGTATGGATGGATGTTTGTTAGAAGATATCTCCAGGACAACAGATGGATCTCACTGAAATTAAGCATATATCTAGAACATAGTCTGAAGAACACATAGGCTATTAAGATTTTTTTAATGCCGTGCTTACGGAGTTGCGAGTGACAGCTAGTATTTACATTAGTGTGTTTAAACGTCTTTATAAATTTAATTAAATAATTTGATATAATTAATTTTAGTTGTTTGTTAATTCTATTAATATGCTGTAGTGATGGTTCTCATCCAATTACGTTAGAAATATATTTACATATATCAGTGATAAGATGATAAAAAACTTGCGTTATCATTTACCATGTTTATCTACAAGTGCTTCTGAAATAACACAAGAATGTAACCAATAGAAGTAAATAAATCATTATATGGTAAACTGTTTTACATGTATCTGTATTATTTTATAGATTAAACAAAAACGTAAAGTCCTAACCTAAATTGTGTTGAATAACCTAGTGAATTATGTAAACTGGATAGAAGCAGTTAAATCAACATGTCTACTGAAAGAAAAGCATCGCCGTTCGTAAAACAAGTGAGTTTTACATTTTTTTTACGTTTAAATCAAATGTTAATAAGTTTACGACATTATTTTGGGCTTCAACTTAATATAGAGTAACGAATGAGAAGGGTCTATTACAAATATTTGCGATAATTTTCTAAATATGTCAAAATTTATATGAGATTTGTCTGAACTTTACGCCCGATAGGGGGCGGGGGCGTCGTACAAATCTAATACATTTTTTTTTTAATGGCGCTACAAAAAGGTTCTCACGAATAGTCGTGATAAGCCCTCAGGTAATAATAACATCTTAAAATCTTGAAGTTTTATTAATTAAAGATAACATCATAGATTTAAAAATAACAGTCATCACACTTTGCAATTATAACCTAAAATTACTTTTAAATTAATGTAATATTTAATTTTTTTACAATATAGCAAAATGTGACAGGCTTTAACAAAAATAGCGAGTTGAATGACCGGTTCTTTTACCTAATAACCTAAAATATTTGCACCTTACCTTATTAACATAGCGTTTATTTACATAAAACAGCTGATCAAATATAATTCAACACATGTAAAGAGAAGTATAACGAGACCAATAAATATAGTTTGTGTTGTGATTGAAAAAAAAATAAAGCGACAGAAATGTTGAATAGTTTTGGCGTGAATGTCTGTAACCTAGACAAGATTTCAAAGAATCATTTCCCGTAGTAGTATAACTATTGAATTTAGCTTTAAAAATTAATTGACTTTGTCTAGTGCTTTGTGACGGCAGCGGTATGCAGCAACATCGCGGGGCACGGCTGCATTATTGGCTACCCAGCCATCCTGCTGCCGCAGCTACGTCAGCCCGGCTCACAGCTTACCCTGACAGATGAACAGGGCTCATGGATCGGTGAGGATTTCACCATGACTTTCCAATCTTTATCCCACTTACGTAAGGTCAATGAACCAGTTTGCGTCCACCAAATCGATCCATTATTTCACGCAATCCACCCATCTCTTCCTAGACAAAATCCCTTAGACTATTGAAATATTTAGCACGCAGAAGTTCTACAAAAAATTATTGATAAATAATGAAAATAGCACTAGAATATCATGTGTTTTATATTATTAAAATCATCATCATTTGCTCTCATCTAAAGGAAATGACAACGTGACGCAAATTATCAAAGATTATCTAAAAGATAATTTCAAGTACAAATACAAAATCTTACATTACACAATACTACATCAAGGACAATACTTTATACAGAATCTATCTCAATATGACATAGCAAGACTTTCTTTTTAGAATTAACGAAATTGAGTACACCAGGCTGAACTCTACCTTTCTTTCACATTCATTTTAGAGCCCCCATATCTCCAAAGTTGTCCAGATCCCTTGGAGTCTGCCGAAGACCCGGCAAGGATATATGGCGGGAAATAAACTTGATGGTTCACAATTAGAAAAAGAAATGATCTCCCATTCGGTTCGTTGTAAATCGAAAAAATGTTTAAAGTAATCTATCAGAAAATTAGAAACATGTGGTCTAGCTTGACAGTTATAAATTTAATTTTATTTCATTAATCTTTATTTATTATTTGTAATAAAATAGTATATTTGTTTTTTGTGCAGCGTCCGTGCTAGGTATTACCATCCTGGTAGGCAACTTTATGACACCGCCTCTCATGGAGCGGCTGGGCAGGAAGGTGGCACACTTCGCCGTCACACTGCCTATCATCGCCGGCTGGCTAGCCACCATATTTGCTTCAAGCTTTGAGGTATTTTTATTAGATTAAAAACATTGAACTTAACAGATATCCATCGATAAAAATTGTATTTTCTAACCTTATTCCGCGAATATAATTTTTATGACAATATCTTTATGGTGTCTTAAGATATCAAAAGTTTTTAATTTATTGTGCCTTAGTGACAGTAGCGTGCTGATAATTGCATTTTACTATCAATTAACGCTGCCGAAAATATTAAAAACCTCTTTTATTTCCAGGTATTATTAATCGGAAGAATTCTACAAGGAATTTCGTTCGGAATGATTCTACCTTTGGGATCAGTGCTTGTCGGAGAGTACACTAGTCCGAAGAACCGAGGTGCATTCCTCATGTCGGTCTCCTGGGCTCAAGCTTTCGGTATATTCTTCGTCCACCTCATAGGATCTTTAATCAGTTGGAAGAAGACCGGAATGATCTGCCTCTCATTCTCCATAGCCAGTCTACTCATGACTTTATACGCCCCTGAATCACCAAGCTGGTTGGCATCTAAGGGGAAATACAACGAATGTAAAAAAGTATTCAGATGGTTAAGAGGTGATGAAGAAAATGATGAATTAGAAAAGATGATACAAACAAAACTGGTGACAGAACTACAGGTGAAAAAGAAAATCACATTTAATGGAATAATAGAAGTAGTTAAGAAAAGGGAGTTTATAATTCCTATAGTTTTGATGATACATGCGAATGCTATGATGCAGTTTGCCGGGGGGACTACCATGGCTGCTTATTCTACTACAATTATTGGTTTAATCATGGGTCCTGACGCCAGCGCGCATTTCTGGATGGTAGCTTTAGACGCGCAAAGGTTAATATCAAATACAATAGCAGTTTATATAATCGACAAAATGAAAAGGAGGACCATGATGTTTTTAACTGGTGGCCTGTGCGTTGTAAGCCATGTAGCTATCGCAGGTTATGTTTATTTAAAGGTTAACAATCTGCTTCACTACGATGCTGTTTGGATACCTGCAGTGTTAATAAATCTACAATTCTTCTCAGTAGCTACAGGCATGGTGCCTTTGCCTAATGTGATCGCTGGTGAAGTGTTCCCTTTAGAATACAAAGGTCTTGGAGGCAGTATTAGTGTCGTCTCTATAGCTGCGTTTATCTTCGTGACTCTTAAAACTTTCCCTGGCTTGATAGGTTCAATACATTTACACGGAACATATTTAGTTTACGCGGTTGTGTTAACATATAATTTGGTTGTGATATGGTATCTTTTGCCGGAGACGAAAGGCAAGACGTTGCAGGAAATTGAGGACGAATTTAAAGCTAAGAAAGGAAAAGATAAAGATATAGAAGATGTGTTGGAAACGACTAAAATAAATGATACAAATTGTACAGAAGATAGCAAAATTAGTGAAACTGAAACACTCAAAGAGAAGGAATAGAACATTGTCATAAATAGCTTTCAAATGTTGGATCATAGTTGATATTCAATTTCGAGAGATGGCTGTTGTGTGTACAACATTGTGATAGTGCTTGCGAAAAGTAATATATTGATTATTGTTGTTGTAATTAATGTACATAAATAAAATTCTTTAAATTATTATTGTAGAGTTTCTTTATTAAAAGACACGACAGTATATTGTAAAGTAAAGCCATTGAAAGAACATCTTACTTCAATTAAAAAATACAATTATCTTTGTGCAAAGAATTATTTGATCAAAACGATGCTATTCTATCTTAATTAGTTAAGCTATTGATGTCTACCAAAACGAAATACAATTTTTGAATCGTTAAGACTTGGATGCATCATCAAAATAAAACTGACAATTTTTGAAGATCACCCGTTCAATGTTTGGAAATAGGTATTCTGCACTGGGGGTACAAGTTTCTTATCTAATATTTAATCGTAAATGAATTATGAAATGCAACGTCAATTAATCCAAAAACGTTTCTCTTTGTTAAACATAATCCTAACGATAAGATTAGTGTTATAATCTCAAAGTGACAAAATAGATTTTACAAATTAACACATAATTGCAGTGTACGCTGCATTTATAAGAAATAAAAAAAAATATCTGGAGAAAAAGATGTTTAAACTGTTTGGTGAAATTGATTTAAACGGTTTTTTATTTTTTATTGGCTGTACGTCAGTGACCTTTGACCTCTTACAGCCTAAACATTATGACCAATTTGAAATACACCATGTCATTCGTATCGTATAATCTGATGTGTCATAGAGGGTCGTTCTAGTGATATTTTATTAATATTAATTGTTAATATGCTGATTATTTTATATTGCAAATCTGTCGTTGATTAAGCTAATCGGATCGCTGGCAGATCTGTGACTGTGCGCGACATATCTTGTACTTATCGTCATTATGTTTGAAAACGATAAGCCATGTGACAGGTACACTCGGACAAAACGTGACAATGTTTTTGACAGTCACAAATCACTGGACATTCAAAATGTGCCGCGAACTGTATACGTCGCGCGCGCATTGTTATTGTATTTTTTAGTTTTAATTTAGTTAATTTTTTTATTAAAAATGTCGGCCAATAAAAGAACTTATTCACCTTTCGTCAAACAAGTGAGTATTCATTTTTGTTTGTGAATAATTTATTTTAATATAATTCGCAGTAATTCCTCTTATAATTCAATAAACAGAAATCCCCTTATAGAACTGTGTTTATCGATTTTTTTAATTCTTATTTGTATCAATTTAATTGTTTTCTTTTTCTCCTAAAAGCTTGGTCATTTGCGTAAAAAGCAAATACACTACGTAGATTTGTTAATATTATTTACGAAGTTTTTGTTGTCAGAGTTTTGTAACGGCGGCGGTATGTATCAATATAGTGTGCCACGGGTGTGTCATGGGCTTTCCTGCCATCCTGTTACCGCAGTTGCGCCAGCCCGGCTCACCCCTCGCTGTTCCCAAAAGTACCGAGTCCTGGATCGGTTAGTCATATCTTCGTATTCAAATTCTAGATGGATAGTTTTAGGCAAGCTTAAGAAATTATTGAACTTTCAATTTAAGCCTCCTTTTAAACAAATGTAATAATCCTTTTGAAAAAAGTAAATACAAGGAATATACTGGCATCAGATATTGCTAACAATTTTGGATTAGAAAATATATTAATTTTTTAATTTTGAAAATAATTTAATATGTTCGTAAAGAATGTAAAGTTACAATTGACGTATTTTAAGCACACTTATAAAATAGAAGATAAATTTTATAACATAATCGTCAATTTGGGCTATAAAATTTATCTTCTGCATTAACAGATAGTAAAATTGACCTTGTGATTGTATGATCCTGAAATATATTATATCGCAAATATTAAAATAGAAAAAGGAATAACTTTATTATAAGATTTCTTGCAAGTTTCTCAAGAAATATAACAAGCATATGACATTCATTTTTAATTAAATAAATATCAAATTGCAATATATTTTCGATCTTGACTTCTGTAGTAGTTTGCAATTGTTCCTAACTTTAAAATTCTGAACACGATAAACTTGCAGGAGCCTTTTTACTATTTTTAATCCTAAGAGAGTCTTCCATTATTACAGCATCAGTACATTCCATCAGCATGCTGCTGGGGTACTTCCTGACGCCGCCCATCATGGAGCGGCTCGGGCGCAAGTTGGCGCACTACGCGGTCTGCATACCCTTCCTTGTGGGCTGGTTCATGATCGTCATGGCAGAGAGTGTTCATGTTGGTATTATGTAAAAGTTAAAATATTCAAGTTACATTATTTAATAAAAGACAATCCACATTTTATTTTTCCGAGAACACTTACGAAATAAAAAAAAAAACTTTTGTTTAATTTCAGGTAATTATAATAGGTCGCATCCTGCACGGTCTGTCGAGCGGGCTGCTGACGACGCTGCGGTCAGTGCTGATAGGTGAGTACACGAGCCCGCGCAACCGCGGAGCCTTCCTCACCACCATCTCGCTGGCGCAGGCGTTCGGCATCTTCTTCGTGCACCTGGTGGGCTCCCTCCTCAGCTGGCGGCTCACCGCGCTCGTCTGCGCCTTCTTCTCCTACACCAGCTTCATCATGACCATGTTCATCCCGGAGTCGCCCAGCTGGCTCGTCGCTCGGGGCAGGTTCGACGAGTGCAGGGCCGTCTTCCACTGGCTGCGCGGCGACGCGGAGGACGACGAGCTCGAGGACATGATCAACACCAGAATAGCGTATGAGAAAGCTATCGTTAGGAAAAGATGCTCCGGATCCGAATCCAGCCGGATAAACAAAATCTGGCACACTATGACAAAGAAAGAGTTCTATAAACCGATTATTCTGATGATCCACGGAAATATCCTGATGCAGTTTGCGGGCGGCACCACCATGTCGGCGTACTCCACCGTCATTATAGGTCTTCTAATGGGCCCCGGCGCCAACGCCCACTTCTGGATGGTGTTCCTGGACACGCAGAGAATTATCTCGAACAGTGTGGCAGTGTACGTCATCAACAGGACCAAGAGACGCACCATGTTGTTCTCCACGGGCGCGCTGTGCGTCGTCAGCCACCTGGCGATAGCCGCCTACGTGTACGCGAGACACGAGGGGATATTTGTGTACGATGCGATATGGTTGCCGGCGCTGCTCATCAACATCCAGTTCTTCACCGTGGCGGTGGGCATGGTGCCGTTGCCTAACGTGATAGCGGGAGAGGTGTTCCCGCTGGAGCACAGAAGTATCTGTGGGAGCATCAGTCTGATGACGGGCGGGAGCTTCATGTTCGTGACGCTGAAGACGTTCCCGTACTTGGTGGACGCGGGAGGTCTTCAGGGCACGTACTTGCTGTACGCGGCGCTGCTGACGTACAACCTGGCGGTGATGTGGGTGCTGCTGCCGGAGACGCGCGGCAAGACGCTGCAGCAGATCGAGGCGGAGTTCCGCGGACGGGCGCTGCGCCCCGAGGAGGCGGAGGCGCGGCACTCGCTGCACGCGGACCCCGTGGAGGCGTACAAGAGCAAGCTGTCTCTGCGGCGGTGTAGTAGCGCAGTACTGTAGTTGTGATAATGTATTATAATATTATTTTAAACTAGTCCAAATTTACGAATAAATATCTTTTTATATTATTACTTTTTATATTTTTGTGAATGTAAATCTACACCCTTTTATTGATAAAAACAGTATCAGGAGCTACGAATGCTATGCACTCAAAATCATATTTCTTTGATCGAGTTTAAGCGAGGATGAAGGGATTAAAAAATGTAATAAAAAAAAATAAAAGTCACCGGTATTTTTCTATAATTTTCTATATTATTTGGTACATGATAAGGTCGGTCTGTCCAACCATACGCGGTGCTGAGGTCGCAGTGTTCATGTCAAACAACCGTCACGTTGTCGTCTCGCTCGCACCCGTATAGTTGCACAAACGACTTCTCTCTCTTAACTATCCTATGTACAGTCGTCAGCCGCACTCGCACTCGCACTCGCACACGCTCCCCGCTTTCCTTTACATTTATATAAACATTTAACATCAGATCAGATATAAACTGCTAAGTGCGCACATTGCAACCGCCTGTACACAAACCTCACGACATTCCACGACCAAAAAGAGACTTTACAGTACTAAAAATAAGGTCGCGTTTGCAATGTGCGTACATAGTGACAATTATGAAGCAGAGATCAGTGGGGCGTCGGCAGAACAAATGACGCCGCCTTAACTTAAAACATAAAAAAATTTAACAGCCATCTTGTTAATAAATAACGCGGTCGATACGCCGATAGTTCCATAGAAAAACTAAACTATTCTCCTATCATTTTCAAGAAGTATATCAAAATTATTGTTAGTACGCCACCGTAGTTCTAGAAGCTGGATACTTCGGTGGCGTTCGCACACAGAATACTTTCGCTAAGTTAATTTTAATATTATATCACGTCTTAACAAAATAAATTTACCTCTACGATCAAAAGTGCGAACTTATATGATTTGGCCTATTATATAAAAATCGCAAAGTACTAATAATAATTTAATATCAAATAGATGTATACAAAAGGTAAAAAAAGCAAAAAAACGGTCGGCATCATCAGCTGTATTACATTCTTAGTTCTAACAATTTATGATATTACAAACATTCATCTGAAAGCAACGCCGGGGCAAATTGAAACTTACAAACGACGCAATAGAGTTCAAATTGGCTTATACAAATTTGTCATACTGCTACAAATATAAAAAATATACAATAATTACACTAGTCGGTATGTTACACAAATACTACAAAACAAGTAGCATCGATGTAGAATAATACATCTTAACACGAGGGCATAGAGTTCACAGTCGCCGATACAGAAGCGATATAAATACACACAGAAAACAAGTTGAAGCTTTTCATCTAAAATTGGACATTAATAAAATATATTTACTCTTCAGTAACTATACATACATCAACCTGACTCCAACTGCGAGAAATATTGTCTACCTCAGAATGTGATACAAACATCACTTGTATCAAAGTTCGTCTGTCCTCGTCTGTGGTCTGAGAGCGGAGGGGGCGTGGCCACACACATACACACACACACACCTACACGGTATATTTACAACTTTAGTATAAAACATCCACCTCGCGCCGGGACACTTCCTACAACGGGAGGGGGGGGACTGCCTTTTGTTCAATAGATGTCACCACGGTCAACAGTGGATGTAACACTAAATATACAGATATATAAAAAACCTTTTATTTTATATGCATAGTTCAATTCACTTAATAAATTTAAAAAAAAGTAATTTTTGTAGAACATAAATGGTTTAACAAAGAATGAAAACCGGAATACATATTTTCAAATGGATACAATGACGTATAAAATATTTGACAGACGTCAGTCCACTGTTGACGCTAGCGCCACATATTTACAGCTTTCAGTGTTTCTCTCCATTATCTAAGTAACAAACAGAATGGACAAAGCGATTATTCAATATGATAATTAATAGACTTTTAACTGTGGGTTTCTGAGATCAAAATTTCCATTTAACATATTGTTATTTTTATTTTGTAAAAGATAAAGAAAAGGGTGACGATATGTTTATAGAAGTACTTTGGTTTAAGAAACCCATGATAAGAGAAACATTTACAGCAGGACAAGTTTAGTCTTTCTGGATATGCCAATGATTAAACGGTATTTATAATTATAATACGACTTCAGCAAATAATTTTTCATAGAAATGTCCCGACAGCGGTTTTTTTGTAACAAATATTAAAGTCAATGAAGCGTAATTCGTGCTTTATTCTTCTAACACAATAACTGCTTAGTTAACACTGACATCCGATATTATAAACTTCAAGTGTAAGTTAAGTTTTGTTCAAGTTAAAATATAATCAAAATGGTATACGTAGTACGGACGTAGTTTTATAAGAAAAAATCACAAAAAATAAACAACGAGTCTACACAAAATACATCAAATTCATTCCAATTCAAAAATATTTACAAAATCCAGTGACAGTCCTGGTTCTCACTAATTTAACATCGACTGAGTGTCGAGCGTCGCATTTTGTATCTAACTGCAAGACGTTAAGGTTTCAATTTCAATGTCGGCAAACTTTAAACGTAACAATTATTATAATGAACACATTGAAATTTACAACCGACATGATGAGGTGCGCGTGCGCAGGTACAGTGCCGCCCCCCACAACAATAATACTAAACACATTTACATTGTAAAAGCAGGGAAATTAGTGATTTGGGAGGGTACATCGAGATATTGAATATACAAGGAACATATCAAATTAGTTATTCTTAAATATATATGAAAAAAAGTTATTCGTCTATGAACATTGTGGTAGCGCACCCGCGGAGTGCAAGCGAATCTCTGTTATTCAATATTTTCACCTGACGTTATTGTGAATCTCTCACAAATTGTCACAACAGTGTCGTAAACAAATACATCGCGGATATGCAACAATTTGATACATTACTTCCTTCCATTTGTTCATCATTTACAATTTTATACAATGAAGCGCGACTCGCATTGTAACTGCGAAACGTTATTTTATAATTTGTCTCAATATTAAAAAAACAAATCTTGTAATAATGTACATTTTACAATTATGACAAAATTCAGTAAAATCCTTGATCATTGTTTGTTTCTCCTTCATACAAAGTGGATGTTATAACAATATACTGTTGGTAATTCATTGTTACTTATAAATAATTAATTATAGCGTATTTGTTGTGTAAAATGATGAGAGATGTTCAGCGGGAGTCGCGAGTGTGGCGAGTGTCGCGCGCGCATGCTCCGCACACGTAGTCGTCGTCCTCCCGCAGCGCGCCGCGGCTGAGTCCCACACAGTGCATGTGGAACCACTGGTCGCAGCCGCCGTCGCACTGCACCCAGTCCACTTCCTTGCCTGACACATCACACACATTCTTAGCATATCTTGTCTTTCCTCAGTTTAGTTCTACTTAATCGTCACTTAGAACTCACGCTATGGGATTAGCTAAGTAAACAAGTTGAGCAGCATGTAGTCACCTGTGGGCCTGAGACAGTTGTCAGCTGCGCAGTCCTCGTCAGAGGAAGCGGAGGAGACTGACGAGGAGCTGCTGCGTCGCGCTGCCAGCGTGCTGCGCCGCGCCGCCCCCGCGCCCGCCCCGCTTGCTCCCGCAGCCGCCGCCCCCGTCCCCGTCCCCGCCCCGCTGCCGCCCGCGCCGCGCTGTTGTGCTGCACACATATCTACTGTTAGCTTAGGTCCGACACACACGTACTGCATACCAAACATGGTCACATCTCTGTCTTTTATGTGTCAGAGTATAGAATCTCACCTATCCTGGCCTGTCGGGCGTGCTTGCCGCGCGTGGATGCGGCCAGGCCGCGCTTGCGTCGCTCCTGCCGCGCCATGTAGTGCTTCCTCATCATCAGCCCCGAACCCGACGACATTCCCTGCGCAAGTAAATAATAACATTCACATCGGTGATGACTACCTTCAGTCTCCTTATTCATATGAATAAATTGCTATGGTATATAATTTACCTGTTTTCTATTTAAGTAATTTGTTGTCGTGGCTGAGCCTCGTTTTATCGTAGTCTTTGTTGTTGTTGTTGTTGGGCCTAGGAACAAAACAAACAAAATTAATAAGTGAAAAATGTTCATTGAAATCGTCAAAAAGTAAGAGCAATATGTACCGTGATGCGGGCGCGTGCGCTTGAGCTGCCTGTGCGGGCGCGGGGCGCGCTGCGGGCGCTTGCGTCTCCCCGCGTCCAGCACGCGCGCGCTGCGCCGCCCCTCCGCGCCCCGCGCCGCCACCACCGCGCTCCACACCTGACTCTGCTCTTCCAGCCGCACCTGATCGACACAAAACATTATAAATCCTTGCTTTAAACTCAAAATGTACAGTCCTATAATTGAGTAAACGCGACAAAAGTATAATCTTACCTCTAGTAAATCTCCTTCCAGCATAAGATCCTCAAGTTTCTGCAGCAGGCCGGGCGGTAGGCGCGCGCTGGGGGAACGCGGCGTCGCGCTGTAGGCGTGCTCCACGCTCGCCGATGACCTACAAGAAGAGCATTTTAGTATACGCAAAATTAACAAATAAAATCACTTTGTTATTGGAAGATTGCATCAATCTAGTATGCGATAGATTGTGTGTTACCTGGAGGCATGCGAGTGTGTGCCGCTGTCCCTCCTGTGGTCGGTCTGGTGCGCGAGGTTGTGCGCGAGGGTGAGGGTGTGGGCGTGGTGCGGGAGGGCGGCGAGCAGCGCGCGCGCCGCGTCCTGCCACGCCATGGCGCGCTCCGTCACGCACTGCAGCGCCTCGCCCTCCGCCAGGCGCACCGGCAGCTTTTGTAGCCACACCTAACACACAAACGACATTAATACTTAAATACTTTATATGGACTTAGTACCAAAAATCTTTACTAAAGCAAGTATAAGTGATGGAGCGACGGTTGTTTTTTATAGAGTTTCTCACCAGTAAGGCCAGTATGCGGTGCAGACGAGGGCGCTTGGTGCGCGTGCAGTCCGGGCAGAGGAACTTCTGCTCTGCGGGCGGCGGCTCCCCGCGCTCCGGCGATGAGTCGCGCTCCTCCAGTGCAGATGACACGCACGATGCTGCACACATATACAAATAACATATTCAGAATCGAGCAGTTCTTGCGAAGTTAATGTAATTTATATAAGTAAATAATGTACCATGAAACCAATCCTTGCAGAGTTCGCATTGCGACATGACGCCGTACTGTCGCTTTTGACACAGACAGAATGTGACCCCGGTGATGGGCGCCGAGCGGACCTCTTTGCGCATATTTCGAGCCCTGAATGACAAAGATTACGGTTTAAATTGTAGGTAAACATTTAACGAGTTTTCTGATTTATTGCGTACGTTATTATTTGACTTCACACATGTGTACATAATCTAAGGAGTTGTAATTTTATACCTGAGTTCTTTGATGGCGGCGAGTTCCCTGTGCTCGGCCTGCTTGAAGGCGGCGACGATCTCAGTGGGCGTGGCGTCCTCGCTGAAGTGCTGCAGGAACGCCCCCGCCTCGCCCGCGTCCCGCCCCCGCCGCCGCGCCCCGCCCGTGTACTCCGTGCGGGGGGACAGCGCCTCTAGCAGAGTGTACGGCCAGTTCTAGAATTTAAAGAAACAAGTATTACATTCAACTTAACTTAGAGTTACACTACTTGATTAACAGAGTTTTATGCCCTTTCTGGGGTAAAATAGGTACTCTACCTTCTTGAGGAACATGTCTGCCGCGCCGCGTTTCCACTCCCTGGCGGAGTGCAGCGCGGCGGCGAGCTGGTCCTTCTCGTATAGTGCGAGGGGAATCTGAGCCCCGCGCCTCGCTAGTGCCTCCACGCTGTGCAAGTACGGGTACAGCTCCTTCGACTGCATCTCTTCCACCTGACAACATCACACCATACGATGTAATGAAATTGCTTTGATGTGAAGAACCAAATGTCCTGCATTTGAAGCCTCACTCATTAGAGATATCAATTCGGAGATGTTAGTATTTAGTTATTTGTGTACCTTTGCTAGCCAGTCTCTGGCGTGTGCGACTGCTTGGTGTAGAGCGTGGTGCGAGGGCAGCGCGGCGTCGATGTCGTCGCCGTCGGCCAGTAGCTGGTCCAACTCGGCCAGGCTGGTGTGCGCCTCGCCGGCCCCACCCCCTGCAGCTCCGAGCCCACCTTCGCCCCGCCCCTCGCACAGTACGGCTTGCGCACGCGCTTCCCACTCCTCCACTTGTGCTGATAATATAAATATTGAGTTTAAAAACAACACAATATACGATAAAAATATTTAAAAGCGACAACATATGTAAAAAAGGGATTAAACCTCTTTGCATTATTTTGATTTCTTTTTAAGAATATTTTGTTGATATGGCAGCAACTTCAAACATTTCCTAGGCTTATGTGTGAATGTATTCTGAAGAAATGTATTTGTTACACAAACCTCTCAACTTGTAGAGGGCCGCTCTCTCCTGCTCGACCCTGCGATGTGGCAGCACGCTGTCGGCGTCGCGCAGCAGGCGGTCCAGCACGGGCGGGGTGAGCGCGGCGCAGTCCTCGCGCAGCGCCCGCACCTCCGCCAGCCAGCGCGCCTGCGCCAGTCGCCCCTGCGCCCCCGCCAGCTGCGGCAGCACGATACACAGCCGCGAACCCAGCTCTACCACCTGAACACACCAATTATACATTAAAATGACCACAATATCGCTCTCACTGGCCATGAATTTGATGAGAATGAGAGAGATAATATGAAAATATATAAATGATAAAGTACACATACCTCCTCTAATTCCCTGACAGTGGCAGCGTCCACCTCATCTAGGTCCTTGCTGAGCAGCTCCGTCGCTCGGTCTTCGAACTCCTCAGTCTGTCTTAACACTTCCTTTACTGCTGAACCTGATGAAACAAAAATAGACACTCACAACTTTTTAATAGTTAATAATTGTTGACATACAGTAAAAAGATCAACAACAGAGACAAACTGTCACCGTCAGAGCTACAATTTAGTATAAGCGTATATTTCTACAATTTCACGTATGAAATTTCACGAAAATAACTCGGAAAAAATTCCATACCTTCAGGCAGGACACAGGCGAGTCCATCAATCTCAGCGGCGAAAAGCGTCAGTTCATGTATGGTGAGCCTGTACTTGGGGTCGTGGTGGCGCGTGCGCGTGCGCATCTTGTTCAGGTCCAGCTGCTGGATCACCGAGGCGCACTTCTCCGCATCTTCAATAGCCGTCTCCAGCGCGCGCACCAGCTCCGTTTTGTGCATCTGAACAGAATCGGAGATTTATTGACAAGAAAATCGAGGGAATAAAATAGTAAAAGAACATTTTTTTAATTAAATTTTGATGTCAGTTTAGTTCGTACGTACTTTGAGTTCGTGTGCGCGGCGCAGATGCGCGCGCAGTCCGTCAAGGTCACATGTCTTGGGCGTGTCGGGGTCGAGCGCGTTCTGCACCGCCTCCGCCCACTCGCGGAACAGCTCCGACTTCTTCTTCAGCTTGTCCAGCATCGCCGGCAGCTCGTCCAGTGTATACCGATACCTATACCAGCATGTACACATTCATACAAAACGAAAAAAAATATAGTTGTTGTGTAAACTTATAACGTCTATTCTCCTCAATTCAAGGGACAAAAACTTAGAAATTACATTTTTAGTAAGTACAAAAGAGAGAGATATAAAGTGGGAGGAGTGTGCGTCCTCACCTAAGCTTGTGCGCGGCGGGCGGGCATGCGCAGAGCTGCGCGTAGTGTCGCAGGCAGGCGACGTGCGTGGTGCACGCGCACGTGACACACGACAGGAAGCACGTCGTCTTGCACAGCTGGCACTGCCGCTCGTCATCCGGCAGCAGCTCGAACGCCTCGCGCTCCGCCTCCGTCACGCCCTGCGACACAACACACAAACTTATTTACAAGAGTTCACGCTGTGTATTACGTCTCGTTAAAAGCATCGGTATGAGGACGTTTGGTACAAAAGGTTTAGTGAGGTCGGCTCACCCAGTCGAGCAGACCCTTGCGCAGCTTGCGCTCGTCGTGCAGCATGGTGCGCATGTCGCGGTAGGCGGCCAGCGCCACCGTCAGGCTGAGCGCGTCCGCCTCCAGCGCCATCTTGCACACCAGCTCGTCGTGCGAGAACACGCAGTAGCGCCGCAGCGTCGAGTAGTGCGCGATGCACTCGCGACCCATCTTCAGCTGTACATACACACGCCTTATACCAACTACCCTACCTCACACACAACTCACACGAGTCACAAGTATACATAATCCTACCCGACATTTGAGTTGGCACGTCGAGCACAAGAATATACTTCTGCACCACGTGCCAACAAAAGCGTCAGGCACTATTATATCCTATTTTGATTGATAGTTTTTATTTTTAGGTACAATTTATCAGTTTTTAAAGGTTGAATGGGCCATCTTATGGAGTCTTGTCTCTAGATATTGATAAATCACCATTTGGAGTAGTTTTTCTTTTGTGACTGAAAGATATAATTTTGGATTCTACGTTGACACGTATATAAACACTGGTTACCATCCATTTGTAGCAGAAAGGCCTCGCATTTGAAGGAGGCGGATTTTATGCCGACAGCCAATAACTGCAACAAGTTGCCGGCGTCAGTCTGCCGTCCGAATATGTATAGCTTTTAAAGACAACGGGACCACGCTTTTTCTACTCTTTTTAAATGTCAATGTCACTAAATCCTTAGCATTTACAGCACCAACAGTCATTTAGGTCGTAGTATTTATGTCAAGTGGGTGATAATTGTTGTGGCTTCCCTCTAGGTGACACATAAGAGGTGACAAGCATACCCAGTCAGCGGGAGTGAAGTTGACTGCCTCAGCAAAGTTGTATCCCTGGTTGAAGCCGGCGTGGTAGGCGCGCGGGAACGTTATCACGAACTCGCCCGCGTGCTGGTCCGTCCTAACAAACACAACAAGTTACTTAATAAGATGTTTTTAAAACGTTCAGTGCCACCGACTCGTGTGGTGAAACTAATAGTTCCTAGTGGCATTGAATGTGTTAACAATTTGAAATAAATCCTCACCTATACACCGGTACTCCAGCCTTCATGAGTATATTAGGGTTCATAATGGTCACGAGCTGGTGCAGCAGGTCAGGCTGCAGCTGGAACAGCTCCGGCGCCTCCGCCTTCATGGCGGCCTCGAACTGCTCCGCCTTGGAGCCCGGTACTCCGTACCAAGTCTTCGGCTCGCCCCAGTGCAGGTAGTTGATTGAGTAACTCCAATGGTCTTCATTGTGCCAGCAAAATGTAGCAAAGCACATACCCACGTATAGCCAGGGGATCTAGAAAAATTAAGTTTTAGAAAATAACTAAAAAAACAGGAAGAAAAGAACATTGTTTAAAAAAATATTTTAAATGTTAGTTCCTTAGTACTTCCGTACTGAGATGAAGTGATGTGGTCTGAACAAAAATTTATCTTATTAGTCCATTTTTACACAATTTATCAATGTTGAGTCAGAACAATAGAAGATGTGTGTTGTGGGCGTGGTGAGTGTGTGGGCGTGTACCTTCATGCCGGATATATCAGCGTTGATGTGACCGAGCACGGAGCCGTCCAGCACGGGCAGGTTGTTGAGGTTCCAGCTCGAGTCCGCGTACTGCTGCTCTCCGGGGTACAGGTGCGCGCTCGACTTTGTCGGGAAACCTAACATGTACAACAAATAATATTAAATAAATATATAGATAATATATATAAAGCTTTTCGTACAGAAGGCAACGCAAATCTTCAAAACTCGATGATTTTAGTCATAGGGGTTAGTTGATTCGCGCAGAACTCGGTCTTCAACAATTTACGTTGCCTTGTGTAAGAAAGGTGTTGTGCAGTATGAAGGCGGACTGACCGGAGCCGTGGTCCATGGAGTGCAGGTCAGCGCCGTACTCCACCGTCACGTCCTCGTCTATGGAGGACACCACGCGCCAGAACTCGCGCTCCACTGTTGACGTCGGCACCATCTATACCAAACAAATATTACATCCTATTGACTCCGCTTTTCCGCTTAATTTCTTTTTTTATTTTTGTAACTACAGAATAAAAAAGATTTAAAAAAGAACGGCATATTAAACCATAAAAAAACAAATAGTGAATATGATTTCTGTTCACTATTTGTGGTAACTTTCTATCAAACTATTTGCTAAAATTAGAATCTCTGTATGCAATATTGAAAAAATTCGTATTTCGCAAAAACAAAACAATTAAAAAACAAACGATGTTAACGGGACTTTAAAAGGAAGGTATGTATATTGTACTGACGTGTACGGGCATGTTGAAGTAGTCAGACTTGAACTGGTCGGCCATCTCGCCGAACTGCTGCAGCGTGTACTCGCGCGTCGCCTGCTCGAACCCGAACGCCTCCGCCGGCTTCGACACCTGCACAAGTACAACTACATTTCTACTCGTTCACTACAACAACACTGAAAACTCAAACATATACAACTGTACAATCACTCCCCGATATACAGATTTATCTCTATTTCCCACTTTGTATCTTAAACTTTTTATTATTGTTATGATTATTGCCGTCAGTTATTTAAAAATAAAAGCCGCATAAAATAGCTTCAGCATGCTAAGAAATCTGTTTTTATTTTACATTACTAACCATGGCTTTATATACCTGTTTTATACAGAAATGTTGTGAGAAACGATACATAATATAATAGTATGAAAGCGTTACCTCCTCTGCGAGACAGACGGGACACCGCCAGTCCCCCTTGGGCACGTCTGCGAGCGGCGGCACGAGGCAGAAGGTGTGGTACGAGTCGTCGCAGCCGTCGCACAGCAGCATCTGCTCCTCCACGTCCCCGCGCCCGCACACGTGGCACATGTACTTCGCCAGCTGACACATACACACAAACAATACCACTTATACTTAGCCGGTCACTGATTGTTGCTTTCCGAGACCAACATCACTGTATTAAAATATTTTTTTGTCAAAAATTGGTCACAGAAACCAATTGTTAAACTTTTTAATACAATCAGAATTATCTATAATAGTTTATAAATTTATAATAATCACTAGGAGTCAGGAATTTGAAGATTTAAGAAAGAATAATATTATTTTTAAATTACTCCGCTCAAGTTATACAGACAACTATTTCACTGTAACACAAGTGTTTACAGTATAAAAACATGGTTAATTTTTCCTTTGGGACTTTTTATTAGTTAGTGGTTGTATGTGGTGCAAGGGAATTTCCTACTGGTTCTTTGGTGTTAGAACTGACCGGATCATCAGGGTTGTGGTGGTGCGCATGTGGTGCGGGCGCAGGTGCGGGCGTCACCGACACCGTCATGTTGCTGAGCCGGTGCTCGCGCAGCCGCCGCGACCTCCCCACACCGCAGCTGCCGCCAGGAGACATCCACTTGTTCTCGCGAGGACCTGGCACATACATTCCACATAAAGAACCTTGCTTTTCACTTGCCATACGA